TGACATTTGGGCTCAATTGAATTCGGATCATTTTGTGCAATACTACAATCACTGGTTTACCGATAGGGTTGACGACAAAAATAATCGCTTAATTACATTCTCAATTCAATTGGAATTGTGCTGGTTCCCGTTGAAAACTGGCCTCGCTAAGATACGGAGTTATTTTAACATTGACAAAGATAAACTACTTCCACCAATTGGTTTCTATATAGCGTCGGAACTACTTATAGAGTTGATTGGTGGTTTAGATTATTTGCATAGTCGAAATATTGTGCATGGCAAACTTAACTTGAATAACGTACTCATGAAGGGTGGTGTTAATTCGAATTTTATTAAGATCTCTGACGTTGGTCACGGTGTGAAGGATACAATTGTATCTGTCGAAACATCAAGCAGAAAATCATCTGTGCGAAAAAATTTCACACGATCGCTCAAACGAATGAGCCTACGATCCAGATCGAGGGGTAGCACCAGGGCGGCGGTTAACTTAGAAACTAACCAAGACAAATTTTTGGACAACGACATTAGACAAACAGGCGTATATGACCCGGGATCTGACATATATAGCGTGGGCTACTTAATTCAAGAATTGTTTAACTTTAACGTTGAAAACATAAGGTAATATAGTTTCATGTACATATAATTATTTAATTCGTTATAAATAATTTTACATAGTGATGATGCTCAATGGTTTAATGGTTATAGTGAAATCACACATTTAGCAACAATTTGTATTGCCAAAGCAATAAATATTAGAGATATATACGATAAAATTGATGCTTGGTCAATGCCAATCGAAACCATTATGGATAACGAAATATGGAAAGAAATTAACATGGATAAAATTTATAATTATGAAGATCATTTAGTTGAACATATATTACAAACTAAACAGAGGAAGTATAGGTAATTTGCCATATTGCAAGAATTATAACTTTCCATGTACAATTTTGTGTAAACCATGATTGCATTTAAAATGTTAAAACTCTTTGTACATCATTATAAACAATCCTGAACTTGTAAAGTTAATAATATCAACAATAATTTAAATTAATAAAACTAGTCATTAAATAAATAAATAAAGATGGTCAATCTATTTTATGAAATCATAAATTATAATTTATAATCTCGTCCTTTCCACAAACCAAACAGATTTTTTTAAAAATAAATTAGCAATAATAAAATATAAATAAATTTTTATCACAACTTTACGAAATACTACATGTTATTGCATAATACATAAGAATTATCAGTATTTATATACAATATAAACATGTTATGATAAATTCAAATGTTAACGTTTATATTGCGTTTAAAATATTTTATATAAATAATATAAATTAACTTGTTTTTAGTTATTATTTGTTATTATTTAAAAATGGCAATCTACACTGGTGATATTAAAAATCTATATGATTTTGACAAAGCTATCGAAGGGGTGGCCAGGGGCTCACAAACTCTGGATATCACCGATAAATGCCTGCAATTGTGTCGCAAGTATTTGCCGGGAGTTTGGACTCAAGCGACCGATAATGAGATTCGCGTCACTCGTATGACCGGCGGACTCACGAATCAGATATATTTGTGTCAAATCTGTGATACTATAACTAAAGGACAGTTAGGCCAACAGCCCCGGGATGTCATCATTAGATTGAACGGCAATACCTACGACCAGACGTTCCGTATGATAGATAACCAGCGGTTTAATGACTCGATCATAGCACTACTGGTGTCGCAAACGGGTATGTTATTTCATATTAATTTTAATCTTGATAATTTTGTTGATGCTAAATTTTAATTATTTTATATTTAATCAAAAAAAACTTATAAATACGCTTACAAACAAGTAATATAATTTTATAAAAGGCCTTCACATAATGCTATTGTGTTACTTTTACAATAAAACTATCAAGATAAAATTATTCAATAAAAGCAATAATAACATTTTTCATGTCCTTCCAACCTTTAATGTAATTTATAAGCAGAATAATATTTAGTTTGTTTTAATTAAAAGGATAGTTTTTAAAATAGTAAATGTTTGCTCATTACTTAAAATTGTGATTAAATATGAATATTAAAAGTAATGTGATCATTTTAAATAAATAGGTCTTGTAATCTTTGTATAATTACTTTAATTCTTATTATAATTATATTTGTTTATTAAATATATTGAATATATAATCATGAAAATAATAACAGTTGTATAACACATTTACTGAACTAGATAATATTAAAATAAACAAGAATGCTAACAAGTATAACCAGGGAAACACTTATCCAACATTTAATTTTAAACATAATTTGTTTAATTTATTTAAATAGGATAATAAATACATACGTTTTTATTTGAATACATATTACTGTTGCATTAAAACTTAAATAAATAACATTAACCACTTGACATATTACATTTAAAATTATCCTGCTCATTATACTAAACATTTATATTATTTACAGGTTTAGGTCCTCAACTATACGGTATGGATCCCAGCGCCCAAATACTCCGGTATTACAAGCATCGGACGTTTGACATACAAGACCTTAACGATCCTAACCTCTTACGAGAATTAGCGCAAAAGTTAGCCCGAGTACACGCCCTCCCGGCACCGGTAGCTCACAATGAGAACTACATCGAGATGTTAGTCCATAACAACGCCAAACTAATCACCGCTGAGTTTGTATCCCAACTGACATCCCTGTGCTCTCGACACCAGTGCCACCACTTAATGGGGTTTGACATAAGACGTGAGATCGCATACATGACAGACTACATCGCCCGGAACTCCACGGACTCCCCCGTAGTGTTCAGTCATAACGACTTCAGAGGGGGTAATGTTTTGGTGACTGAGGGGTCGGGACTAGTATTGACTGATTTCGATCACTCGTCTTATGGTTGGCGCGGCTTTGATTTCGGCGAGTTTTTCGCCTCATTTATCACAGAAACGGACGATTTGTCGAAAGGCTTTCCCATGGAGTCGACCATTAGGTCATTTGTCGAGTACTATAAGACTGAATGCCAACAATGGTTTGGTTCAGACTATGGGCTAAAAGTGTATAATTCGACCGAATATATGGTAAATGAGATCAAGTTTTTCGTTTTGTTTAACTATTTGTTTGTCATCTCGTGTTTCGTGTTGAATGACATGAGGGATGGCCTACCCATGGATGAGAGAGCTATTATGTCAGCGTTGGACTCGTTTGTTAACATCTATTTAAATATTAAACAACATTTGATTGATATGAATATTATTAAAATTTAAAGATTTGAACATTGACCTCGATAGTTAATAATTTTACTAACCTTTAAAATATTTTATTTTACAATTAAAATTGTTTATAGTTTTGATTCCATTAGTTTACTTATTATATATTTTTAATTATATAATTGAATAAGTAAATAAAATTTACTGTTTTCTATTAATAATAAATTTTTTAATTAATTTAAAAAATCATTTGATTTTAGATAATTAAAATTTTTATTGTTTAATTATTATTGTAAATTATATATTTGTATTAATAAATTAAACTTACAGTTTTATTTAAATAATAAATTTTTAACTAAATAATATTTATTTGAAATTAATTTTAAAATTAGCACTATAATTAAAGAATTAATCTTGATAATTAACAATTTAACTAAACTTAAATGTTTTATTTTATAATTAAATCTGTAATTTTAAAAATAATTAATTAAGGTTCGTCCTTAATCCAATTATTATATTTAATAAAAATTGTTAATTATATATTTACAAAAATAAATTAAATTTCCAACTTGCTATTAATAAAAACTTCCGTAATAAAAATATTAATTATCTGAAATGAATTTTAAAGGATTTGACTTTAAAACCCCACCCCACCCCACCTGTGGCACCCCACCCAATTAAACTAAATAAATAATACATATTAATTACGGTTATAACTAAATCACTTAAATTAGATAAAACATGAGAAAATTAGCACTGTTTGCAGCCATGACCTAATTATTATTCAATTATCATTTTATTCCTTAATTATTTTTAGTAGCAAACTGTAAATTAAATATATTTATTCAAAAATATAATTAAAAATATTTAATAAATATAATAAAGGTATGAACATCTCATTGTAATTAATAATTTTTAAAAAGTTAATTCCAGATTCAATTATAAAATCATTATATAATATGGTGTATAAAACTGATATTTAAGCAGATTTTTAATTTAAAAAATAGTTTATATAATTTGCCAATATTTACAATAGTTTACAATTTTAATTTGAGATCTTTTTGTAAATGTTATTTACAATCTTGATTAATTATGCAAATAATTATGTTATTAAAAAATATCATGATAAGCAATCACTTTAAGTATAAAAACTGTGGTAAATACACAAATTAAGTTTATATTATGTTTAAAATATTTTTAATAAATAAGCATGCGCTACTTGAATTATTCATAAACACCTGACATAACTGATAAATGTCTGCAATTGTGTCACAAGTATTTGCCGGGAGTTTGGACTCAAGCGACCGATAATGACATTCGCGTCACTCGTATGACTGACGGGCAATACCAACGGCCAGATGTATGATAGAAAACCCGTGATATATAGACTCGATTATAGCGCCACTGGTGTCGCAAACGGGTATGTCATTTGACATTAGTTTAAAAATTAGCTTCATTCAAATTATATTTCTATCTAAATAAATAATTCTAACTTATAAATACGATAACAGATAATTTGATTGGTGAAAGATTTTTACTAAAGGCTATGGTTTGCAACTAAAACTTTCTAGATAAAATTATTTAATAAAAGTAATAATATTAGTGTTCACGTACGTCCAACCTTTAATGTAAAATATAGCTTGAATAATATATTAGTTTATTTCAATTAAAATGACAGTTTTAAATTATTAAATGTTTGTATTGTATTTACAATTGTGATTAAATATGTACAGTATAGCAAAGGTAATAATAAAAATTAAAGTGTAAAAGCGGAAAAGCGTATAAAAATTTAAAACAATGGGTTTACGGCGCGAGTGTTTGGATGGGTATCGGGACTCGAGTAAGTGTATTGATTACGACACCGAGATGCATAGGTTCAAGTACGGTATCAAGCAAACCACGTGAACCCCGATCAATAATAAAAACATACACGTGCTCCAGAATGTGAACGATTTAATGGATAGCCTGGATAAGGTGGTCAACAAATATTTATATACTTCCAGATGATAATTGATTTTTATCAATGATTTTACTTGATACACAATTGGTTTTAGTATATAGTATATAACATATTATGCACCTAATTCACTTTTCACCATCTTTATTTATTTTTTGTGAGTTAACCCTGTACAAATTTTTTTATTGTAAACCCCATTAAAATATAAATTATACAGTATATTCTAATAAACATTATTATTATTTGTATTAAAAATATATTAATATATTTATAAATTCTGAATTAAAAACATTAGTAAATATTTTAATCTACAGTGATTCCAACTTTAGATGGTTTCAATCAAAAAAAGATTAAACTATCAAGATGATTTTTAGTTTTATTGTCCATTTCACCAGAAATGCGGAATCTTGTGATTTCTCATCTGAATTGAAAATTATTCGGGTGTGACCTCTGGGTCAGAAGTTATGACCAAAAAACAGTTACCGAGGTTACACTGTACATATCAAAATTCTAACATTTTCAATTTATGTATTTATTCATAAATGTCTTGACATGTTTCGGGAATTTTGAAAATACTTCCCGGATCAGTTTATTTTTTAAGACAAATGTCTTAATAACCGTCAATAAATAGTTTAATTTTTTGCATTCAAATAGGAAATACAGAAATAAAACTGTAAATTAAAATTTTAATCAATGTGCAACACATCAATGAAATTATTTTATTTTTATTGCTTAAATAACTGTAATTTAAAATATTAAGTGTTTAATATTGTAATACTAAGTTTTTGTGTATATAATAGATTGTATTCAAATATTTTAAATTACAGTTATTTAAGCAATAAAAATAAAATAATTTCATTGATGTGTTGCACATTGATTAAAATTTTAAAATTTTAAATCAAAGGACCAAATAAATAATATTACTATAAACAATTTTGTACATAATACATTTTTAATCTAAATATTATGCTATAGAATATACTGGGACAATTATTTACAAACATTTGCAATAGATGCAGGTAAATATGCTTCATATAATTCTTGCTCAAATATCCATATTACTGAATCACATCATTTACAGTTCATTTTTAACACACAATTTTACTTTTAGATAATATTACTTATTTACAAGTCTTTGGGTTCAGTTTATCATTTAAACTTTAGATTACACTATAATTGATTAATACAACAATACCTGTAACTAATTTATTTCAATTTAATAAATGTAATATAAAGTTTTCAATTGAGTTTATTCTGTATTAAAATATATGAAAAATACATTATAAAGTACAGGTATATTACAATTTACGTGCGCAATTATTTGCACAATAGTTTTAAGTGCATTGTGCACTGCTTTAAAATAGAATTGCAAGGTCATTTGGTATAAATTCTTTGGGTATACTACAGAATAGATAAGTTGTGTACTTGCAAATTGTACACTCTACTTTTGGTTTGTGCTTATTCTTTAAGTTTTCTAGTTATAAATGTGACTGATCAAATTGAAATTCATTAAATAAACACTTATCAATACAGAAGTAGTGGTTAAATGTGTTAATACTTGAGTTTGTCCTCAATAATACAAAAAAGCAGTTGCACTCACAGTAGGATACATTATGAACTATACATTTATCTAATGAATAATACATTAGATGCTAATTATTGGTACAATGGCTCAATATCTATATATATTATTCACATCAAAGTCTACAAAATACAATTGACATTAATTTCTTACTTAAATGAATATCTTAGAACAAAATTATGCTAAAGTGTACACCATTTTTATGATTTTAATTGTTTTCCCAATTAATTTATACTATTGTACATTCATTATAGATTGACACTAAAGTCCTTGCTTTTATAAAACACGAATTTATGAAACATCCATATTAAATATGTTTTATTATAAAAGTGATAATAGATTATTGATTACGTTTAATAAACTAAAAACAAGGCTTAGAAAAAATATTTCAGAATTACGATTTCATATATCTCATGTTCACAGTGTGTAGATATTATTTAAATCATAAATACATTTAATTGTAATTAATTAATTTATAAAATAAAATATATATATAATTAATAATAAATAATATATAATATATAATAAATATTATTCAAAAAGTTAAATATATATTTTTAAAAATTTCTTATTATTTTTAATTGTTTACTAGATTTTTTTAAAAACTTATATAATATACTTCTTATTGAGGTACAGACAATTTTATAACAAGCCATGAATTGAAATGTTGCCATAGAAATGTGAATGAATGGCAGTTAGTTTTATGTATAAATGAATTTTACTTCATAAAACTTATGAATTTCATAGGTTTCCACCTCTGGGTACATTTTACGATTAAGAATTTGCTGCAAAAAATTATAAATTTAATAAATAAAAAGTAAAAGTAAGAGTAATGTCTATAAATAAATTAATAAAAGCGTGTATAATATGTGGCGATAAGGCAACGGGTATGGGTGTAAACAATTAATTTAATACATAATTTTAATCAATTTTAATTAATTTTTCTCATTTAGGCTATAATTTCAATGCACTCACGTGCGAGTCATGTAAAGCATTTTTCAGGAGAAATGCGCTCAAGGTATGTTAAATTTATATACTGTATTTAAAATTATTCTGGTTAATTCACATAATAAACAATAAATAATTTTATGGCTAACTTAGAAATATTTCCAAACCAAACTATTAAAACTAATATACATTTAACAGGGCATCAAAAGTTGTAACTTTGATGACAATTGTGTAATCAATTTGAAAACCCGAAGGATATGTGGTTATTGTCGACTTAAGAA